CGGATCAATGCTGCATCCACCTAGGTAAGTATAATTTAAGCTCTTCCCATCCGCCCATAGAATATAGACAGTGGATGGGAAGTTTTGCCGATGCAGGCTAACGTAGCCCACATCGGTGGCTCCTGCGAGGCTCACAGAGCACGCATCCGGGAGCCTGGTAATTGGTATATTATGGGAAATTTTGCACTGGTATATCGCCCAGATGTAGCGGATCACATTTCTGTTGCGTTGGGGGATCACATGGTGTTTTACCATGTGATTGCTGTGTCCAGTCACAGCAATCGTATAGAAATCATAGCCAAGAGAAATCAAAGATTGCTTCTCGCTGCTCTCAATGTAAGAGCAGAGAGAAGCAATCCTGCAGTCTATGAGTGTACAGAAGCCTGTCAGGCTGCTTGTACACTCACAGACTGCAGTTCCAGCCACACCAGTGTTCCTGATCACTGCTCCCAGTGCCCTTGATCACTTCCCCAGGGTAGAGACAATAAACAATGCAGCCATCTCTGTCACCTGTTCCAGTGCACACAAAAACACCACCATACACCATACCAATGTACTGATCACCACCATACCAGTGTCCTGATCACTGCCATACTCCATACCAGTGCACTGACCACTGCCATACCCCATACAAACATCCTGATCACCACCATTTGCCATACTAGCACCCTGATCACCGCCATACCCCATACCAGAATCCTGATCACCTACATTTCCCATATAAGCATCCTGATCACCCCATAAGCCTTACCAGCATCCTGATCACCAGATACACTACACCAGCATCCTGATCACCACCATTCAGCATACCAACATCCTGATCAACCCACATGCCATACCAGCATTCTGATCACCCCCATACCCCATTCCAGCTTTCTGATTGCCATCATACCCCATACCAGCATCCTGATTACTGCCATACCCCATATCAGCATCCTGATCACCTCCACACCAGTGTACTGATCACCACCATACCTTATGCTAAAATTCTGATCACTGCTATACCCCATACCAATGTTCTGATTACTGCCATACTCCATACCAGCTTTCTGATCACCAGCATACCAGTGTCGTGATCACCCCCATACCAGCATCCTGATTACCGCCATACCTCATGCGAACATCCAGATCACCAGCATACCCCATGCCAGTGTCCTGACAAAGTGTGATAGTGCTGAAAAATGAAAAATGTCCGGGACTGGCAGGGGGTGGAAGTGACCAGACTTGAAATGGTTAAAAACATCCTAATCTCTTTTAATAAAAACAAGATCCAATTTGCCCATTCAAGAGGAAAACAGCCTCTCAGCAGGAGATGGAGCATGAGGTTGTCCAAGCAAAAACAAGTTAGAGGATAAAGATATTCAGGAAAGGAACTAAGATTTTACTAGGGGATAGTAGACTAAGGGATAAATCAGCAGTGGTGGGAAAACAGTATCTTAAAATGCCTGTATACAATTCTTAGATGACACAGAAATGAAGACAGGGTAGAAGACTAAAAGATAAGCAGGCATCAATGAAAAGTTAAGTGAAATACTTACAGTCTGGACAACACAGAAAATACACTACTTTCACAGAAAGGCAAGGAGCTAAGAATCTACCCAGATCCTCACTTGTTTATGCTGTTTGCCACTTTCCTGGGTTCAGTGAGCTTGCACTGGAGTCGTGTTTGAACAGTAATTAACTTTGTGTATACATCTTCATGTTTGATGTACCAGGAATCCTTGTGCTCATAACACTGGACATCTACGTTTCTGTTTAATGCATCTGATTTCTGGAATCCTGTATATTTGTGTCCCTGGCTGCATAACAGCCATAGGATTAATTCACTCCTCTCTATTTTCTAACTGGGCTGCAGTTTCAAAATGTTTCATTGCTTAAAACTGCCTGGCATAGAGAAATATATACAGTATATTGTATATTATACACAGTTTTTTTGCAATGCTTAGAATGGATATTGTTATTAAATGCTTTCTGTGACAGCATCATTAGATAAAAAGGGACTATGCCTTAAAGCAAAATCTGTGCCCACCCTAAAAAACTGCAAATTGAGCTCTAAGTACACAGCATGCTGCCCTATGTACACATTTGAAAGTGCTTTTTGCAAACTCCACCACTTTATTATTGTAGCACCATCCCCTTGGGGGCGCTAAGGATTTGGGTCCCCCTATAGTCCTGCATAGCCAGGCAATATGCATTTTCCACACAAGCTTGCATCCAGAGTCAGAAATCCATCCTTCGCTTAGTTTTAAGGTTTATCAAGGGGATTTAGAACTGGGATAGGGCAAGTGGGTATAGGGCGCCCAAGGAAATCGACAACTGAGGAAAAACTTCCTGGAACTATTCACCAGCTTTCTCTGCAGCACAGTCTCTGTTGGAGAGCTTGCCAGCATCTCCTTAGTGTACTAGACCCTAGATGAACTTCTCCTCTTCAGCCAGCAATCTGGAGGTATTGCTGAGCAGGGGGGTCTGATTCATGTCCCTTTAAATAGGTGATCAGTTCCAGGGTGCTAATCTGGTGCTATCTACCCATGGGATGTAGGTGTACTCACTCAGATCCTCTCCTGTGCAGCTTGTGGGTTGGCTGCTGCTACCAAGCCTATCAGCTGGGCTGCTCCTTCCCTGCCATGCAAGTGGTCCTTTCTTAGGGGGCCAGTGAGTTCCAAGCCTAGGCCTCTTGGCAGCCTCCTTCCTCAGCCTCTCATCTTCCTCTCTCCTTCTTCCACTGACTCCTCTCCCACACTCCACACTCCTGCCACTGAGTAGGCTCCAGCACTTTTAAGGGTATCCAGCCTTGCCAACCTCTTGTTGGGGATTAAATAGGACCCCTCAAGCATGTATCCAGCCACTCCTCAGATCCAGCCACTGCCTCTAAGGCCTTCCTCCAAAAGCCCTAGTGCAGGGATAAATTCCAGAGGGGCTGGCATACAGAGACTCTCAGGCGTGACCACAATTTGATCACTTTGTGGCTATTATACTTGGGCTGCTGCTCAGCCCCTATCTAACCAATGGAATACAGCTCCCCCTAGCTAAACTAGGAGGGTGCTACATTAGTAACAATAAATACAAGATGGCCAGTGCTATCTGCTTTATAATCACAGCTACTGTTTAATGCCTACTACACACGATGAGAAAATAGGATGAGTGGTCATTTGTGTTTTTTTGCATGCTACTCTCATATTGAATATGAGTGCTACTATGCGTATGAAAATTCTCATACGATCCAGTACAACTTCCAGTGTGCGTAGTGACATACCAGCGTGTAACCGAAAGTGATGTCAAAAACATTATAATAAAAAAAATAATATATACAGGGTATATATCTTTATAGGAATATGTGCAGATTATGACCAAAATTGTGTAGCAATAAATTGCCATTCCATAATTGCAATTAAACATATTTATGTCCTGAAAACAATGTTTTTGTTCATGAACATTTTCATTGTAAACAAAGATTGTTTTCATTGCCCTTTTTCCTTCTTGGTTATTTTCATGTTGCCAATCATGCACGGTATTGGTCACTTGATTTGTTTTACTGACCAATATGCTACTGATTAAATGAAAATCATTTATTCTATTATTTTACAAGAAACATTTCGTGCTTGTCCCTTCAGATGATTTCACATGAACTGTCGTGATCGGCTTCTATGTACTAACAAATAGATTATCGATTGAACACTCCATGTGTGTTTTTTTTTTCTGCCTGATTTTTTCGCCATGTGTACTAGGCATAACTGTACAGATCAATGAGCAAGAGAAATTGGAAATGGCTTCAACGTTTTCAAATATATGGGTCCCCTTAGCATACCTACCTACATACACTGTTTAATTAATGAATTTAGTAAAAAAAAAACAAGACATAAGCAGATGTAACCCAGTAGAGAAAAAACTAAATTTAAATGTGTAAATGTTGTGACTTGGTGCTGCCCCTTCCTTGACTTTTGGCACACAAGTGCCATTATGTTAAATACAACAATGGCTCATCTACTGGAAATGAGTGGGGCAAGCCTATATGCAGTCAACTGTATCTTGATCAATACTAATATGCAGAAAACTGTGAAAAATCAACAGTATGAAAGATAAGCATGCAGTCAGCCTTTAAAGGTAATTTTAACCAATTTAATTAAAAATCAAACACATTCTGGTAGACATCATGGTTATGAGAAATGGCATATGGCAGAAAAGTACTGCTGTAAATCTGGACACTTGCTGGCAGGATGCTACAATACAATCTAGAGGTATAAACACCTACAATTGTCTGTTAAAGTGGTTGTAAACCACAGACATAAAATATGAACAAAGCATATACCTCTATAGAGTGTACTTGTCTCAATTAAGAGCACTAAGTGTAATTTCTGTCTGCTGCTTCCTTCCTCTGCTATCAGCATGAGTCACTTCTGACAAGTTTTCCTGACACCAAGAGAAAAATTGTAACAGGGGAGGGACTTCCAGCAGATTGAAAGCCTCAGCTCTGTTCCTGTGAACTGCGTGGAGGGGATGTGTCTCTTTCTTGAAATCAGCTCTCAGAGCTCTCCTCACTGAGAACTGCAGAGTGTAATTTCAGCTCTCTGCCCCCTTTTTTTCTGAACTCTCAGACAAGCTTTTTAAATTGTGGACTTTGTATGTAGAAAAGAGATAGCTACAGATAACCAGGTACAACTTGTGTAGGACAATTTATTTAATCTCTGTGTATCATCTGAAGCCAGTCACTTCACTTGTAATATGTAAGGGTTTACAACCACTTTAAGCAATTGGTTAAGGATCATTGGCATTGACTATGATTGACTTCAGCAATGAACATTTCCAAAAAATTGAAAAAAACAACAACAGTGCAATAGCTGTAGTGATTTGGAGCTAATTTGATTTCAAAATATCAGAATTGCAGCAAAGTGACTCTTTGCCTTATTATATATAAATAAATAAATTATATATAAATAAATAATTATATATAAATAAAAGTTTAGTTAAAAACATTACCTATTTTCTTTTTGTTATGTTTATGCAGATTTAAGACAGAGGTTAACTATGACACCCTGGAAGTAAGAGATGGAAAATCGTATTCATCGCCATTGATTGGGGTGTATGATGGCACACAGGTCCCACAGTTCCTGATCAGTACCAGCAACTTCCTTTATCTTCTCTTCACCACTGACAAGAGCCACTCTGATGTTGGATTTCAAATCCGCTATGAAAGTAAGCCACTACTTTGTATGCCTTATATGTGTTTGTATGTGAAAAAGCTTGCATCTTAGCAAGGCAGAGAATTTCTATGATTTCTGCTGAATTCAGGGCAGTACTATTGATTGATGTTGAAAAGAGCTGAGCGACTTGTATTTGATTAAACATAATTACCCCCACCCTGTGCACAGAATGAATATGCAGGCAGGTCTTACAGGAATTGTTCATTTGTGTATGTGAAAGCTCAGCAGGCAGGGCAGGGCACCCCTCAAATATTGAGAAATTGGCAGCATTGTGTTAGCTGTGCTGCTGCAAAGTGTTTGGAGAACTTAAATCTATTAGAAGCCGTTCCGCACTCTGCAGTCTGATCATCTTTATTGATTTTCTTTTACCATAACAACTGAAGTAATGACTTCTGGACAGGATTATTGAATAAAAAGCTGCTTTTATATCTTCTTAATTTGGATTCTTTCTCCCCTCTCTTGAATGAGAGCTGCCAAGAAACCTTTTCCCATAGTACTTTTTTCTTTCGCTCTGCAGGAGCATTTCTCTCTCTTATTTTTCCAATAAAGCAGTGATGGATGTTTTGCGTGGCTATATATTTCCAAATCAGATTTCATTCATTTTCATAAAGCTCAGGTCTATGCTGGTATATGTAAAAATTTTGAAATGCGCATTGTTTACGGTGCTATGGTTACCATTCAAACAATTTATGCCATAGCAAAGCATTTTGCCACATATTCACCCAAAGTGTTGACAGTTTACATAGCTCAGTCTGAAGCAGTGAGTCATTGGGGTTGATTTTTTAAAATTTGAGCGTGCAAAACCTGGTGCAGATCTGTATAGAAACCATTCATTCAATTAAGCTTTGACAAAACCATTTTCTGTCAAAGCTTAATTGAACAAGCTGAAATTAGAAGCTGATTGGTTTCTATGCAGAGCTGCACCAACTTTTGTACTCTCCAGTTTTTGTAAATCAACCCTTGTGTTTTGCATCAAAAATATAATGATTGTGTAGGGAGACCCACTTATGCCCAGGGGCGGACTGACAACTCATGGGGCACCCGGGCAATAGGGGATCAGCCAGAGGAGAAATTGATATTTCTCACCTATACTGGACGAATGAGCCTGAGTCGGGAATACTATGGGGCTCCTGTGTCCTTGCCCAAACTCAAAATAGCCTATGAAAAAGGTACCAGGGTCATCTCATGGGGCCCCCTACTGACCCCAAGCCCTCGGGCAGTGGCTGAGTTTCCAAATGGTCAGTCCGCCCATGCTTATGCCTACTGACTATAGTGATAGAGTAACCTCAGGGGTGCGCTGTAATACCCATTCACCAAACCCACAATGACCTAAAATTTCACTGTTTTTTTTTATAACTCTAAAACGCATAATGTAGAAAATGAAAGAAAGTCATAAGGATGCCAGGTGTATAACCTAATAAGGCAATGTGGAGTTAGTGAAAAAATACAAATGATGGAACAGATATACAGCTGCAATCATTATAGGGAGATAACAACCAGACAGTCGTCAGCTGCTCTTGGTCAATTTATCTGTTTAAGTGGAGATGTGTATAGGGCAGGGTCAGCATCCTGGCCACATACACAACCCAAAGGCATGGATTGATACTGAGGGTTATTGTAATTGCTAAAATGCTCAACTGCCCATCAAAATCAAATAAATCACAGTACCCTTCCAGGCTACCACTACTTTGATAACAATTTTCAGGTTCGTTGGCACTTAAACTCTGGTTGGGGTAGGCTCTAGGCACAAGGAGGAGGACCAGAAAAAATAACCAGCAACACAGTACATGAACAACATTGGGATATATTTTTATATTTCTAATATCACAAGAAATAAATCACTTCTTCTAGTAAGCGTGAAAGCTATGCATATATATACGGTTCTTTATGCATTTATCCTGGTCACTCATTTGTTGTATAAGGATTTATCATACTTCAGCTTTTTTTTTTATTTTAAGCTGAAAACAACTGACTGATTCTGATTTTGGTGTGTGTAAGAATTGAGTGGCCTTCATAGGCATCTGTCAAATTGATGCATATCCTGTCTTTGGGGAGAATTTTCCTCTAGGCTAAGGTGAGCCTGGTGCAATCAGTTTTATTGGACAGGGAATATATGCATACACAACAGGCTGTGGAATTAATCTGGGTCTAAACTATTTGCGGTTCAGTGATACATATCACTCTTACATTAATAAATGTGCACACATTCTTGTCTCATTCTCACAGCGGTAAAACTGCAATCAGACCACTGCCTCGATCCAGGAATCCCTGTTAACGGTCAACGACATGGCAATGATTTCTATGTGGGTGCCCTTGTGACTTTCAGCTGTGATCCAGGTTATACGCTCAGCGATGACCAGGCATTGGAGTGTGAGCCAAATTTTCAGTGGAGCAGAGCTCTGCCCAGCTGTGAAGGTATGACCTGATATAATATTTTTTCAGATAAAAGTGATTTCTTTTTTGGTGAATAATTCCATCCTGTGGATGATATTATAAGTAAAATTGCACTATAAAATGTTTTAATTAGCCTGATTAATGCAGGCATTGTCCGGACTTCTGCTTCTCTCATATTAACTTTCCAGAAGTAAATGGTGTTAACAACCCCCTCCTCCTCTCTACTTTATTTACATGACTTAAATTCAATCTGCATTAGATGAAATATGGTGAATGCTACTGCTGAACTAATTCTGAAAATGCTCATTTATTGGTCATTTTGCTGACCTGTTGCAATGCTTTCCAAGGCTCTGTTTGCACTTGTGTGATTTCAGGTGTAACTTGAATTGCACAGAATCACATGACAATGGAAATCACATTGTTTTCAACAGTGCTCATTCACATCAATGCAAGTCAGCATGGTGCAATTTTAAAAAAAGGTTCCTGTACTACTTTGATGCCATTCCAGCATGATTTTGGCCCCATAGAATATACAAACCTTAACCAAGGTTGCATCAAAGTTGCATCCATGTTTCACTACATATTCACACTGACAGTCAGATCAAAATGGAATTGCAGCAGTGTGAACCTAGCCTTTGTCACTAACCTGGAACAGGTACACAGATTAGGAAAGTTGAAAGAAAGTCAGGACTCCTTATTGGCATATGTATTCCAAGTTTGTGATTAAAGCATTGAACCAGATTGGCAAGAAAAGTATCAGCAATGGCAGTCTCCATGTCTTTGTCATGTCAAGAAAAACAAATAATTGTTTGATTTTACATATTAAGTCCCACCAAAGTCTGAATTTTGGTGTTGAATTTTGACTTTTAAAGATGATGAGAATAATATGGAGGTGTAGGATAATGTAGCCAGTTTTATTTATCTCAGTTACCCCAAACATTTCTTACAGGTAGAAACAATTTAGTTGACATTTTAAAATGTCAGATTTCTGTGATGTAAAAAAATGAGACAAAGATAAATAATTTCAGAACTTTTTCCACCTTTAATGTAACTTATATACTGTACAACTCAGTTGAACAACAAACTGAAATCTTTTAGGTAGAGGAAAGTAAAAATAAAAAAACTAAAATAATATGGTTGCATAAGTGAGTACACTCTTAAACTAATACTTTGTTGAAGCACCTTTTGATTTTATTACAGCACTCAGTCTTTTTGGGTATGAGTCTATCAGCATGGCACATCTTGACTTGGCAATATTTGCCCACTCTTCCTTGCAAAAACACTGCAAATTTGTCAGATTGCGAGGGCATCTCCTGTGGAGAGCCCTCTTCAGATCACCCCACAGATTTTCAATCGGATTCAAGTCTGGGCTCTGGCTGGGCCATTCCAAAACTTTAATCTTCTTCTGGTGAAACCATTCCTTTGTTAATTTGGATGTATGCTTTGGGTCATTGTCATGCTAAAAGATGAAGTTCCTCTTCATGTTCAGCTTTCTAGCAGAAGCCTGAAGGCTTTGTGCCAATATTGACTGACTGGTATTTGGAACTGTTCATAATTCCCTCTACCTTGACTAAGGCCCCAGTTCCAGCCGAAGAAAAACAGCCCCAAAGCATTCATGCTGCCACCACCATGCTTCACTGTGGGTATGGTGTTCTTTTAGTGATGTGCACTGTTGTTTTTGCGCCAAACATATCTTTTGGAATTATGACCAAAAAGTTCAATCTTGGTTTCATCAGACCATAACACATTTTCCCACATGCTTTTGTAAGACTTCAGATGTGTTTTTGAAAAATTTAGCCGGGCTTGGATGTTTTTCTTTGTAAGAAAAGGCTTCCGTCTTGCCACTCTACCCCATAGCCCAGACTTATGAAGAATACAGGAGATTGTTGTCACATTTACCACACAGCTAGTACTTGCCAGATATTCCTGCAGCTCCTTTAATGTTGCTGTAGGCCTTTTGACAGCCTCTCAGACCAGTTTTCTTCTTGTCTTTTCATCAGTTTTGGAGGGACGTTCAGTTCTTGGTAATGACACTGTTGTGCCATATTTTCTCCAATTGATGATGACTGTCTTCACTGTGTTCCATGGTATATCTAATGCCTTGGAAATTCTTTTGTACTCTTCTCCTGACTGATACCTTTTAACAGTGAGATTCCTTTGATGCTTTGGAAGCCCTCTGTGGACCATGGCTTTTGCTCTAGGATGCGGCTAAGAAAATGTCAGGAAAGACCTACTAGAACAGCTGAACTTTATTTAGGGTTAATCAGAGGCTCTGTAAATGATAGCAGGTCTGTACTGACTCCTATTTAACATGATTTTGAATGTGATTGCCTAATTCTGATAAATCCCCAGTTATAATAGGGTATGCACACTTTTGAAACCACATTATTTTAGTTTTTTTATGTTTACTTCTCCCCCCCCCCCCCACTAAAAGATTTCAGTTTGTTTTTCAGTTGAGTTGTACAGCTTATAGGTCACATTAAAGGTGGAAAAGGTTCTGAAATTATGTATGTATTAACAGGGGTATGCAGACTTTTTATAGCCACTGTATGTGTGTGTGTATCTATCTATATATATATATATATATATATATATATATATATATATATATATACATACTGCATTTGCCCATTTGAACCCATCAAAACAGACCCTATGTGTAACATTTTAATATCCATATCATATAGACACCTGTAGTAAAAGCACAGTGTCTTTCACTGCTAACAATTGCAACAAAAAATAGTGTGTTCTAATTACTCATTTAAAGAGGAACTAGACTGCCTTTGAGCACCACAAACGGAAGTCGCTGTTTAATTAATTTTTAATATTCAAAGCAAACTCCCCCATCTATTCATGTCTCCATGCTTTCTTTTGTTGAGAAATCACTTTGAAAAACACCCCCTTAGCAGTTCTGGCAGTGGCTGTCTTAAGTAAGGGCAGATAATTCATGTAGCAATTTCTTCCTGGAATCTATCCTTAGCTCAGGAATACAGGCAGGAGGATGTGCTTAGCTGAAAAAGACCCTCCTCTAGATAAAAGAAAACCAAATGCCATGAAGACTACTGGGATGCATGACATCATTTCCTTGGCCTACGCTTGGAAACCAAGAAGTAACTGAAGAAATGTAATGAAATAATTTGAAACAAGTGATTATGAAATACCTTTCTATTTACAGATGCTAGCAGCATAGGGATTAGAAATAGTTCATGTTGATTTTAGTTTAGTTCCGCTTTAATTCACCTGCAAAATTTTCCAGCTTTTGTCAATATCTGTAATATTTTTACCAAGTAGGTTTATGCTTTAAAATGTTCCTTAAATTAGACTTATAAGCTAGTTTGGTATACTTTCTCATATCTATATATCTATATCCTGTTCCTGTATATAATACACTTGTGATAATTGCTACTATGGTTCAGAAATCATTGCCTACTCTAGTGGCATTCTTCAACTATAAAAGCTGACATTATGCTAATGGTGCTCACCAGTACTCAGATGCCACCTGGACCTATAAATCTGATTATAATACCTTGGAGAGCACAGTCAAACTGGAAGTAATAATAGCACAGAATGCAGATTAGTCATGGTAGGCCACGTAAAATTACAGAGCGGGGTCAGCGCCTGCTGAAGCGCACAGTGCGCACAAGTCGCCAACTGTCTCCAGAGTCAATAACTAAAGAACTCCAAACTTCGTATGGCCTTCAGGAGAACGGTACTTGCCTGACTACATTGAGCTAAGTGTAAAGTTTGTTGGAATGGGGATTATGGTGTGAGGTTGTTTTTCAGAGGTTGAGCTTGGCTGCTTTGTTCCAATGAAGGGAACTCTTAAGATGTCAGCATACCAAGACATTTTGAACAATTTCATGCTCCCAACTTTGTGGGAACAGTTTGGGAATGGCCCCTTCCTGTTCCAAAATGACTGTGCACCAGTGCACAAAGCAAGGTCCATAAAGACATGGATGAGCGAGTTTGGGGTGGAAGAACTTGACTGGCCTGCACAGAGTCCTGACCTCAACCCAACAGAACTCCTTTGGGATGAATTAGAATGGAGACTGTGTGCCAGGACTTCTCGTCCGACATCAGTGCCTGACCTCACAAATGCGCTTTCTGGAAGAATGGTCGAACATTCCCATAACTCCTAAACCTTGTTGTTATAGCTGCAAAGGGTGGGCCAACTCCATATTGGACCGGGAAGCTGTAATGTTCATGTGCATGTAAAGGCAGGCATCCCAATAGTTTTGGTAATTTAGTACATGCAACACTGTGCTGAGTGTAGCATGGATGCACTCATGTACTTGTAAGTTAGCAAACAAGACATACATATGTTCAACAGCAAGGTCATATCAGGTATGATAATCCTCTGCATTATGAAATGAGTAAGCTTTCACTAAACAATAAATGCTAAATTGGTTTGAAATCTCAAAGAAAATTCTAGTTTATGATTTCGAAATTTTATTATTTCACATATAGTATGTTGCAGTGAGAAGAGTACTAATACATTTACTATTTTCACTTAAAACATTTATCAGATATTAGATTAGTTTTCAAAACATTTAACATAAACCTCCTGCCAAAGTTAAAGTCAAAGTATACTTTCATTTTTAATTATTGTTTTAGTGATATTTAAAAGATAAGCTTTTGTTGCTGAACTGTGCCGCCAAGGGTTCTTTTTGCATTATTAGTTATCTTCTTATGTCATTCTTTCTACAGCTCTTTGTGGAGGATACATCCATGGCTCAAGTGGAACTATCTTATCACCAGGGTTTCCTGATTTCTACCCCAATAACCTGAATTGCACATGGACTATAGAAACATCACACGGGAAAGGTAATAGAAACTAGTATGAAACTTTGGTCTTAACTGAGCTTTTGAAATGGTTGGGGAGGCCTCTCTATGATTAAGGTTGTAGCCTTGTACTGTATTTTACTGCTTAAAGTGATACTAAACCTAAACATGTTTTTTTACCTTAATGCATTCCATGCAATAAGGTAAAAAACATTTTCTGTTTCTTTGTGTTTACCCTTCCCTGTGTGAAGGGGAAGAGAGGGGAGAATAGATCCAGCGCTGTGCACAGCTGCATCTTTTGGTCTCTTCCTTTTCACACAGGAACTCGAGCAGTGGCAAGAGCCATTGGCTCCTGCTGCTGTCAATCAAATGATGTAAAGAGGAAGTGGAGGGCAGAGCTACTGTAAGTCTGGCTATGTGTATGGAGCTCAGCTTCATAGACACACAGCTCGGGAGCTAGCAGACACTGTTTGCCCCCATAGCAAACGGCTTGGTATAGGGACACACAAAGAAGAGGAGGACCCAAGATCACCAGCGGAGGACCTCAGAAGAGGGGGATTGGGGGCACTCTGCGCAATACCACTACACAGAGCATGTGAGTATAAAATGTTATTTTAATAAAAGGATTTAGACTTTAGTAACACTTTAATCATAGATGTTCACAGTTCCAGCTAGCGTAACTATTCATTACTATGCTATGACTATGGCTGCTGGTTAACTTTGAGAGAGAGAGAGAGTAAGAACAAAACGCTTTTTTGTCTTCATGTAATATGTGGGTGATATAACTGCAGAAATGAGAACACCTCTCAAACACACAATATATATATATATATATATATATATATATATATATATATATATATGGACTTATTGAAATGCAACGCAGAAAAAAAAAACATTTATTATATGAATATATGAGCATTATTCCTTTACTAAGGAAGCTAGAAGTTGTCCTGAGTGAAAAATTTTCTAGGTCTGGTGATAGAATGAATTCAGTAAATTACACTTACCTCAGTATTTCCAATCCAGATATCTTTCCTTTCCATGTGCCAGTACCTCAGTGCATCCTGCCTGTTGTTTGTGCAGAGCCAGAATTAGTTGTTACCTTTCTTGATGTCTGTGAAGATTTCTTTCAAACACCAAGCCATGGAATGGGTACCTTAAAGATCCCTGAATCAGGAGCGTTGATATTTGTGTAATTTGCATAATTATGACCTTCAATTCTGATGCAAGGTTCTCTTCTTTCGTGACTTCTCAGAAAATGTTTAACCTCTTGCCACCCAGCCACTGCATTAAAACGGTGGCAGGGCGGCACAGCTGCACAAAAGCACAATTTTAAACGTGCTACGTGCTCCTGAGGTTTTCGCGGGCAGGGGGGGGCGCGCGCACGCTCCTGCCGACCCGCGGCTGTCACCATTTGATCCCCGAGGGATCAATCATTCGGTTTCAGCCAGTGATGTCCGGCTGAAATTAGATGATCGGTCCCTGTCCTATCCTGTCCTGTGTTGACAGTCACACAGGACAGGATATGATGTCATTCTTCTCTGCCTGGGCACATTCTGTCCCAGAGAGAGAAGAAGACACAGTAAAAGTGAGTAAAACACTACACATTTACAGTTAGAACACACCTAGGTCACATTTAACCCCCTGGTCGCCCCCCAGTTAACCCCTTCACTGCCCTGTCACCAGTGTCATTGATCACAGTGAACAGATTTTTACTGATCACTGTATCAGTGTCGCCGGTTGACTTCCAATAGTGTTAGCGCCCCTCCCAGATAGTGCCAGTTTGCCCGCTAGTACACCAGTAATCCCATTTAACCCCTTGATCGCCCCCCCTTCCAATTAACCCCTTCACTGCCCTGTCACCAGTGTCATTGATTACAGTGAACAGATTTTTACTGATCACTGTATTAGTGTCACTGGCGACTTCCGGTAGTGTTAGTGTCAGTTAGCACCCCTCCCAGATAGCGTCAGATTGCCGCTAGTACACAAGTAATCACATTTGACCCCTTGATTGCCAGGAACACGCTCACTTGCACGCTAAACCTCCATTGCTAGTATAATGTCTGATTGGATCAATATCTTTGATCAGATCAGCGCTATACCAGCATTCACATTACTATAGTATCCCCAAAAATGCAGCGTTAGCGGGATCAGCCCCAACACCTGCCAGCACCTGCGTTTAGCCCCTACGCCCCCCCTTCTCCCCCAGCAAGTGAAGTGTCAGTAGATAACTGTCACTTGATACATTGCACACAAAACCGCAGTGTTCACAGAATCAGGCCTGATCTCTGTTAGCACTTGTCGGAAAATTTTTTTGTAGCGGTTCAAGCAGTCCCTGACAGCCAGGTGCTCTTTTTCCCATGAGTCGCACTAGGTACCTATAAATTTAGTGGCCAGAATGGCTGTATAGCAAAAAATGTCATGAATTACAGTATCTATACCATAGTTTGTAGACACTAACTTTCGCACAAAGCAATCAATATACACTTATTTGAATTTTTTTACCAAAAACATGTAGCAGAATACATTTTGGCTTAAATTTATGACTAACTTTGAGTTTACAATATATTTTTTATAGCCGAAAGTAGAAAATAAAGTTTTTTTTTTCTGAATTTTCGTGGTTTTTTTTTTTTTTTTGTTTATAGCGCAAAAAATAAAAAAGCGCAGAGGTGATCAAATACCACCAAAAGAAAGCTCTATTTGTGGTAAAAAAAGGACATAAATTTAATTTATGTACAGCATTGCATGACCGCACAATTGTCAGTTAAACTAATGCAGAGCTGTATAGCAAAAAATGGCATAAATTGCAGTATCTATACCATAGCGTGTAGACGCTATAACTTTCACACAAAGCAATCAATATACACTTATTGGGATTTTTTTTTACCAAAAACATGTAGCAAAATACATTTTGGCTTAAATTTATGACTAACTTTGAGTTTACGATATATTTTTTATAGCTGAAAGTAGAAAATATAGTTTTTTAGGTGTTGTGGTTATTTTTCCAGAAACCTAACATGCTGGGTTCAGGTCATTGAATAGGAAGTTGGGGTGCTGCTTGTTTGTTTTAGTTGACAGTTAAGGTGTATAACTTTAAGTACCTCAACTCCCACTTTCAAACTCACCTTACTTAGTGAATCTAAGCTTGAGTTGAATGCTTATTTATTGAAGAGCATTGATCCCACAAAAAAATTATGATAACTATCATTCATGTCAGTATGCCAGTGATACCTATTATACATATTATTTCTTGGTCATTGTATTAAACAATTGTCTTTTTTTCAGGTGTGTTTTTTTACATTCCACACCTTTCACTTGGAAAGTGGTCATGATTTTCTTCTCATCACAGAAAATGGTAGCTTTACTCAACCACTAAAGCGCCTTACAGGGTCTAGATTACCAGCTCCTATCAGTGCTGGGCTATTTGGGAACTTTACAGCACAACTCCGCTTCATTTCAGACTTCTCTATGTCTTATGAAGGATTTAATGTTACTTTCTCTGGTAAGATATTATGTTTTTTCGCAAGTATTGATAAACACAATTGAACACTAAATGATCATTATTTTTGGTAAGGTAAAATAGAGGTAATGCCTAGGGGAAACCAATTGGGTTGCAGTTCCATGTAGCTGGGATTGGAAAGCTTGTTTATGAAGGTAGTTTAATCAATTGGGTGTTTTGTCATGCTGCCTTTTGGATTTATCACAAAGTTGCTTTGGCTTGTAAAAAATTGTACCAGCAATCAGTCTTGTTGAAGTGTTAACATAAATTGTCAAATCAGTGTTATAGTCTGAGAAATCGTAAACTGTATTACATATCTTTTATGAAATCTCTTCTCCCTCTGGCTTGCCATTTAAAATAGTAATACCAGTGATAAGATGTTAGATATTTTGTTAGTGAGAGATTAGGTTAAAAGCAATGCTACATCTGTATAAATCATCACAATTTATCTTTATCATTAGATTTTAAGAAATTATATTTATAAAAAGTGTGTGTTGATAAAGTAAAGCAGACTATAGTACTGCAGTTGATACACTTAAATGTAATATATTGCTTGTATTCACTAGCTCATTACTAACAGGTGTGGGTAGGAAACCAACAGAGGACAATTTGCTCCCAATGGGGTATTAATCAGATAACCTTTGCTAGAAATCTGTTTTTAAATACACTACTTACAAAGTTTACAACAACGCAGTAAATTTTTAAAAAGTAGCAATGTTTTATAAACCTTTGATGGTGATGTTTAATAAACCTTTCAAGTAGTGTATTTAAACATTAATTTATAATAAAGGTAAATTATGTGTGATATCCCATTGGAGTAACTATACAGTTTTCTTTCTTTTCCAGAGTATACACTAAATTAAAGTGAACTGGTTATGTCCACTAAGTACACATGTGCATAACAGGTTTTTTTAGTTTAGTTTCAGATACATTTGTCAATTGAAAAATTTCATTTCGCTATATTCATTATGTTTAAACCGATCCATTTTTGAGATTTGTTTAGTGTCTTTGGCATTTGTTTCATATATACATTGGTCTGGGTGAATCTGAAAAATGTTGCAGTTTTTCCAGAAGATGGCTCTATATTCGATATATAATCAAATGGGATGGATTCGATATTTTCAGACACTAGTCCAACCTACCAAGAGAAATCGCATGAGCTTATTTGACAATATCAACTGGCATCATGTGCATGGAACAAATTAAATGAAATTCTGATCCATTCATTATCTGAATCCAAATTATGGAAGGAGTTCAAACTTTGAATTCAATTCCCCATAGGCCCGAACTACTATGGCATCATGTGACTTCATCTGAATAAAAAGTGTATGAAACGAATGCATTCGTTAATTTTGGTATAACTATTTTTTTTATTTGTTGACATTCGTTATTATGTCTATTCGGAGATTTGTGTACATCCGAATCTCCGAAAATAAAATTTTTGTCTGAAAAATGAATCGAAACAAAATGCACAGATCTACCACCAAGGTGTTTAACCTAGGTTATTAGTAAAGTACCTGCATGTACATATGTTTGTCTTCAGATCAATTTCATTGCTCTATGGGAAGAACCGAAATCCAAAATGCAGGCTGACTACAACACTTTGACATCTCTCAAAGTCAAAATTAAGCCCTGCCTCCACCTGGCACTATGTTTTGTGGACGTGACAGGTTCACTTTAAGGGATCTTTGAATTGAATTGTGCTGCACACTTTTGAAAAGCAGGGATCACAAGGTGAAGAGTAGTCTAATCAAGGTTCATTTATCTCTGTGTAACTGCATTTGTCACTACTTATGTGTACATCTAAAATTGTGGCAATACCTGAGCATTGCATGGGGAGTTTGCAATTACTTTTTCAGTTTACATGATAAATATTTAGCACACAACACATACTTGTAAGGAAATAATTGTCTCCTTACCTGTTTATTCTTACTCTGAGACTGAACCAGATAAGTAATGAATGATTGTGCAGAATATTAGGTAAAATATGATGTGGTAAATCATTTGCCTAATTTAAGCTATAATCTTAGTAATTTAAACTATAAGAAATTAAATGAAAATAATTCACTTATCTATATCCTGTATTGATAAGCGTACTATTTTTAATTTATTACATGCAGCATTGATGTTAGTAATTCATTTAAATCATGTCAGACAAAGTAAAAAATGCTTACCATAAGCAGGAAGTATTGATTCAATATATCCACATCTGTTTAATGTGATCGATTAATTTGTTTTTTTTGTAGTTTATTAGTACATAAGGTAAATTGTATTCAATAGTTTAATGGTCCATGGGTTAATTCAGAGAGTCTGCCAGAGACATGACCCATAAAAAAGAAATATATATATGGGTACATACCTTCACAGCTGTATGGTTATTGGGAGGTATATGGTTTACAAGGAAGGTCCAGTTGTACTTTTAAATTACGCCTAAACATTGAAATATTTCTGTTTTTTTTTGGGGGGGGGGGGTTGGTATTTCAAATTATTGAAAATATTACATTATTGAAAATAGAAGTTGTATACCCTTTAGGGCATTACAACTCTACTCATTTTCCTAATGTGAGCAATTTGGCCTTGAAGAAATTCTCAAAAAAGTAAAAAAACATCCATTGCATTCATATGTTTATTCATTGGACATATACTTTAATTAAACTTAACTACAAGAGATTTGAAAATGTACAGCAATTTAATCCAGTAGGTACTCATAGAAAAGCCATTAAGGTCTTTTACATACTGCTTGTATACATTACTATATTAGTCTTGATTTCTGCTGATGTAATCATTTGTATAGAAGCACTCACAGTGGAAAACAAGGGCTGCATGATGAACAAATATGGCCCCTAATAATTTGCAGGGATGGCCTTTCCAGTGTGCTGCTGCTCCTTCACTGGCCACTTTCAAATTGGGGTAGGTCTTGAACCAGAGTGTATTGTTTTTAGAGTTGATGTAGATTTCAGGAAAGTCTAGACCTATGGTGCCTGGCTAGGATATCTGGATCATTAGACCCTTTAAAGCAAATTGCAGATCATTTGGCATGTAAAGCATTTTGCATATGCTGTATGTACTGTATTTAAATTGTGCATTAAGCTGTTTGTCTGAAACTAAGATTGAAGTTCATTTTTAAATATGTGTTTCTCACTTTTCAGTATTGCAACATATACTGCATAAAATATTTTTTTTTTATCAAAGTTCACATCAGTAAATGATAAAAACGGGACAGAGAAGGAATGATTGGCGCAACATCAATCTACAATTTCTCCTGTCTGATCATAATGTCTATAATCTATGTTATAAAGCACATCACTGGTATTGTGTGTTTAGACAGCATACAGAGGTCAAGATGAGTATTGAAGTGTGTCATGAGGCATACATTTGGTTTCTTCTGTGAAAACAGCTATATAGTGTAGGTTAACAATAATGAAATAAAAATGTGGCTGTTCAAAAACATGAATAGTGGCAGTAGCTTTGTTTCAATATGTTTAATTTTTTTTTCAACCTTACTCTTTCGTTAAATAGAACATGAATGAAATAAAACATGAAAAAACATCAGCAGAACCATATGAACAGGGATACACCAGTGTTTCATCAAGGTTTGAGGGTTTTGCAGGAGACAAGCTATGCTTATATTTATCTCCTGTGGTATTGATACCTCTTTAATCACATTATTGGTACATGCTTGCAAATGAAATGCAGTTAAAATAAAAAAAACGAAACAGTTTCAAATTCACGTATGACAACTTTCTTACCTTCCAGAAGACTTGTTACTCGTTCCAGCTAGAGATGAGCCCAACTACCCTGGGTTTAGTTTGGGCAAGGTTTTGTGATATTAAAGAGGTTCGGATGCTGAACCCAAACCCCACTAAAATCAACCAGAACCAAAACTGCTGAATTAAAAATGCCCATTTTTTTGGCTAATGAGCAAGAGGGTATCAAAATAATAGCATAGGTGGAACATTGCCCCGGGGAACATGTATTAATGCAAAAAGAAAAATAGGAGTAGTGATTTTTGAAACACGTAAAGTAAAACAATAAAATGCCCACTTCCTTTAAACAACATGACTGGAGTGCACCAGCACTGACATTTACAAAGGAAAAAAAATGGGGGGGGGGGGGTAACCTTTGGTTGGATCTGTGTGTGGTATTTTTTTTCTTTTTTTTGGTTTTCTTTTTTTTTTTGTTTAACCCCTTCACACCTATGGGTAAAACAAATCTAAATGCCTAAGCACAATTTTGCAAAGTTGACACGTGTTAGTAAAACCGTTCATATCATCACAACTACTTTGTACAGCTAGGTGGATTATAACTTGTTTTTTCAGGACAAATTGGGCTTTCATTAGGTGGTAAATAGTAGTGGATATCTCCTGATATTTGTTTATTATCAAAGGAAAACTGGCCCAAAATAGTAAAAAAAACATTTTTTTTTAATTTAGCTGTTTGTATTACCATAGCCTACCACCAAACAACAACCCATAATAAATTCTACAGCTCTTGACGATTGCAGCAATACTATATATGTGTATGTTATTTGTTGTTTGTACCCGTAGTACAGCCCAGAAGCAATAGTGTGCATTTTGTTTTTGTCTTTTTTTTTTACCTAAAACACAATGACACTGACATTGACACTAACACCATTTTTTAAATCCTGACCTTTGACCCTGACCTTGACTTAAACACTAACCCTTATACTGAACTAGATCAAACCTTGATCTAGGTATTTTTTCGGTTTTTTTTTTTTATATTTATTTATTTATCTTTTTTTTTTTACAAACATTTTTTTTTCTCTCTATGCCAGGAGTTAGAGAGATACAATGTATCTCTCTTCTCAATTCATAGAGAGAGAAAAAAACAAGGGGGTTGGGCAGTACAGTGACTGATCACTGTGATAGCCAATGAGAGGCTATCACAGCGATCATGTGACCCAAAATTGGGAGTCTCAGTGACA